CGTGGAGTTCATAAGCTAATTACAACACAAAGCGTCACTCAATCGCAATGGCCAAAGGGTTAAGAAACCATCAAAATCGAATGGATATCATAGCTTTTCGTAAAACTTTTATGGTATGCGTTGAAGAAAACGTAAAATCCCGGTGGTGTGGTCGGATAGCTCTTATGAAAAGTGTGAGAACCGTATACGCTGTATAGTGCTGTATACAGTACATGTACATAAATTTGCACATCATACATTTAACATCTAAAGCCGTACAAATCTACAGATTTTGATTTACTTCTATTTGAAGAAAGCACTCAATGTGCAACTGTATTTTCATGCGAAACTTTTAGTTACAGTTCATCAAGGGTTTGAAATAAAAACAAACATAGCTAAGAATAGTGTTGATTTCTAATCCTCTGTTAAAACATTGTTTATATTTGTATTTATTATAAGTGTACCATTATAGCTGTGTGACCCTACAAGATCTGTATACTGTGCATAATGAGATGGATTAAAAACCCAGGCGTTGCATTTTAAATGTCTCTCATCGCAAAGAATATTAAAAAATGGTAGATATACAGTAAAAGCCTGCGTTTTGGTTTCTTTTTGGATATTTCAAGCTTTACAGAAAAAAAAACAATCATGCCAGAGTCCATACTGTAAATACTGCTATTAAATGATAAAAATGCTATTAAAGTATTGCTTGTTCATTGGGCAAGCGCGTTTTGTATTACTATTGCTGTCGAAAGGATTACCTGCATTTCTGAATTTAAACCGTTTAACCGTTAAAACCTACAGAAGCAGTTATAGGTGTCAAAGGATGTGTTCCAGATAGCAAAGGGGGATAAAACGCGCTTTATATTAAGATCCAGATTGGAAATCGATAAGATTTTTCAAAAATATTTTTAATTTTATTAACCACGAGGTGGCAGCAATTGAGAATCGAAGGTACCATACAAACAACAATTAAAGTGAAGCGCTTTGTAGCAGTTCAAAATGCTGTAAATAAAGTCGAACAAAACACAGCAGCCCACGTTCCGTACAGTAAGTGACTCTTTAGAAATGCTGGCTGCTACACTTGCTAATTCAGCCTTTATGCTGACATTCGGATTGAAAATGGTTTCTTGTGAGTTATATATATTTTTTTTTAAACCAATTTTAAGTGCATTTTGTCTATTCAAAACCAGACGACTAACGGGCGAAATTAAAGGTCTACAATTTAAAATGTAAAAAGTAAATAACAGACTGAAAAGCATTTAAAACGGTGTCAGTTTTAATACAATGTCCAAGTGGCAGGTCCACGGTTTGAATGAGAGGGAAAGAATATACCAAGACCGTTTATATATACCCCGATTTTTCTCTATGAAGAAATAAAGTTGTGTTAGGCGCTGTTATGATCTACTCTTGTTGTGCAAGACCCCGAAATCCTTTCAGTCCCGGGGCGTTTTCTTGCGTGATACGTTTTGCGTGTTTGCAGTACTTTCATCAACTATCAGCAAGAAAAGAAACATCTCTTCCGACATTTACGTCGTCAAAACCGCGGACTGCAATTGTTTGACGCGCAAGTCCTGTCACCGCTGTGGGCCCGCCAAGTCGCCGGATCGCTAGAATGCATCCACTGCTCGTCCTCTGTGCACTATCTGTCAAAACGCTTTTAAAATGGTCACTCTTCATTAGACCACGGCTGGTCTCTTCTGAGACGATCTCAGATGTGACACCGAGGCCAGCTTTTCCTCCGCGATGGTATAATAAAACTAGGAGATTGCTTTTCAGCAGCTTGTCAGGCGTGCCTTGATGTGAACTACATTAGGAAAAAACCCCAGCTGTGAATAAAAATACACAATTTTCTTCATAGAAGCTGCAAACCTTTATGTGAATTATCAACACAAGTATAATTAAATTCTGTGTAGTGCCAATCGTTCTCAGCTGTTTTTTTTTCCTTATTTAGGCAGTATATGCAGTTTTTCTCAAATCTACACGCTTTGCAGCAAAAAATCCATGCCGCTTACACTCTAAAACATTGTAGAGAAAAGTATTGGCAATAATGGTTTATGTAGCCTACTCAGAGCAATCTATAATGTTAAATAAGTAAAGCAAAAGTTTGTCAACGTTACAGAGAGGATGTCTAAAAATCCTGTTTCACACAGCCACAAATAGTCATGCAAGCTCCAATATGTACTCGTGACACGATTATTTTATCTTCAGAAAAACGCGTGTTCTGTACCTCTGCTAACCTCTCAGGAGTGACCTTGCGACACAATGACCTGTCTAATTGCTCCGACTTTCTGGGCGTCGAAATCCCATTTTACCTTATTTCTGGTAATTTTATTCATTGAATGGCTAATCGACTCTGTTCTAACATGATCACAAGGAGGTCTTATAATGTCAACCATTAAATTTCACTCGGCGGCCAGTGCCTCTAGGGCTGATTTCCTCTAATGCTGAAACAACGTACTGTACCAGTCTTCACTTCTGTACGACCAGCACGCTTGTTGCGGCACGGTCTGGTTGCGTGGATTAGATATATATACACCTAGGGGCATATGTGCTGATTTTGACATACAAACGTTGCACAGTAGATTGTCTGAGATGACGCTTTTATGTTTGATTAATAACGCATGCAAGGGAACAATGAGTAAAACGTTATTTTTTTTTAGGAGAAATGTGTGAAGCAAAACAAATATCAATTTCCATAGTTTGCTGTTATTCAAAACAGATTTGAAAATGGTTAGAAATTGAAATCCGCGTTGTATGTATCCATATTTTCGGTAAAGAAATAAATGATATATATATAAAGCATCGGGAAACATACTGTAAGAGTCGCGCTAAATTGTGTTAATACAAGACGCATCCTAAACGGGCTATTTACCTAATAGTTTTACTACTGTCAAACTATTTCACTGTAATTGAAATTAAGACTGAGATTCAGTCACGAGTCCGCCACATGATCACTCAAAGCTCCGTGTAGATTGCCGTCATGTAGTTTACTATATATTTTCACAATTCCGCCAACGTATGGGCTCCTCAAGTAAGTGTCTTAAGGAGTGTAGGCTATGTAGGCCACAAGAGTTTATCTGGAATTATAGATGGCGACTGCCTTAGGGTCAGATACATCATTGGCAATTTAGAGCAGGCACACCTAGTATAAATGAGATCTGTAAATCTGTAATTTGTTAATAAACATATCTGTTTGACTAATGTCCGTACTGTGGTTAACTCACACAACATGCCAGCCGTTGAGTTGTTTGGGCAAGATTAGGCTAAGCAATGGCTTGCAAAATTAGGACGCACATTCAGTTGATTAGGCCGACGTGTATTTCTTGACTAGTCAAGAAAACACATTTTAAAAATGTTAAATTACAAGAAATTGCAAACTAGTTCGTTCATTCATCCCGCTTAGCTCTTTTCTATAATAATAATGATAATTTCGCAAATTTTCTGAAATAAAAAGCGGAAACCAGAGTTTCCTCTGTAAAGACAGCACCGCACCATTGCAAGTGCTTCGTTGTGCGTGTGTATGCTGTACTTTACTAATGAAACAGGCTACATTTTTGCACACCAATTTGTAGGGCAATACCCAATCAGTTTAGTCTGAAATATGATACAACCGAGGTAGCCTTAAATAAACACTGCAAAACACAATGTCTCCGTAGGCCCACAATTAGCGGAAAGGTGAGATTGTTCGCTCCTGGATTTGACAGAGACAGCCGCAGAACCGTTACAAAAAACAAGTGTGGTGACGCGTTAAAAAATCAGAAGAGATCCAGGTAGACAGGTGTGAATTCTTAAGGTCGAAAAATCAGAAATTGACAGAATTATGTCTTTGGAAACAGACGTAGAACGTCTTCTCTGAAGAGCGCAGCCGGAGAACACGTTCTCTTCACTTTTACAAATACACGGTTTGTTTCCTGGTATGTCCGGTTATACAGGAGACACCCTTATATTAGAAACAATTTCAGAAGTAATTAACTTATTAGGTTGGATACAGTTTTAAAAAAGATGGAATAGCGACACCTTAGTCGTGAGTACAAATCTCATGTTAAGTTTTCAAAGCACTTCTAAGAAAATATGATATAAAATATTTACTACAACACTAATAACACTCTTACTACTACTGTTAATAATAACAATACAAGGTAACGAAAGCAATGATGTCTTCTTTGGTTCCAAAAACTATTCCTTTGTGCCAAATCACCTGTTTTTTTTTATTAGAAGGACAGCATTAGGTGACATTTTTATTAATGTTGCATAATCATCGGTAATTTAATCTGACAAGTTTACACTGTTTTTAAAGACGTCTAAAATGGTCGTAAACTAATTCAATGATAGGAGCAATTGTTGCAGTGATACTGTAACTACCAGTATTTTAACATATATTGTTTTTCAGTTAAAATTAAATTAGATTTCAAGTATCGATTTCAGAACCTTATCTTCCATCTTGAAATTGGCGGAAAGTCAAATCAGTCACTAGACTTGAAAATGATCATATTATGATCGTTTACTGTTCGCAGTAAAAGTCGTTATACAGCACTTCGTAAAAATGCTTTGATTTCCGTTTACTGACCCTTACGATGAACGTTTGAAATTAACTTTGTGTTGCAAAAACAAAAAAACAAAAACCCAACTAAGTTGAACTAAAATGAACACCAGAACAATACAACCCTCTTTCATTGTTTGGGGGAAAATAAAATACAATTAATTGAATGCTGTGGTTTCCTTCGATGTTCGCATTCAAGTCAATATCAAGAGAATGACATACAGGACTGTAGATGGGCTGATTTTGCAAAACTTACTGAGCTCCAGTGAAAGGTGTTGGGGCTGAAGATCGTTGAGATGAGAGTTTCAATAATAAAATGTTGATTAAAGAAGAAAAACAACCCCGAATCTAAACGATAAGCAATCTACTGTATATCGTGTGTCAACCCTCGGCATCTTCAGCGGGGATATATATGCGGGGTGGGACAGGCTGCGCGCTCACCAACACGCCCCCTTACTCCTTGGAGGCGGGAGCGCGCAGTAAATCCTAGCCAAAGTGAAGCGCGAGGAGAAGGCATCCTCCGGATTGCTTGCCATCACACCGGGAGGAAAATGCCTTTTCCGCCAGCTATGATCAGTCTAATTCACGCCGCCAAAAAGTATGCAAAGGGAACCACTGTTTTCGCAGGAGAGATATCAACTGGTTGTTAATTATTTTTACGCGTAAAAGTGGCCTGCTAATCAGAAGGAACCTGCGAGGACTTGGACCATTAGTGGACCGGTAAGGATGTTTTAAAAAGCTGGCTGAAGTTCTGTTCCCCAGTGCTCACGGTTTGCATTCTGAATGTGCAATTTCAGTTGTTTTACTGTATATTAAGAAATATAGGATTGTTAACGGTTGGGTATTTCGGAGACATTTCCGTTAGCTTTTAATTTAGCACTGAGCACAGGGAGGGTTTGAAATTCTGTTATCCTTTAACTATAATCTAACCTTAAAAAGCGCTCAGGGCTGAAAGCTTTCACTTTTGACGTTAGCGTAGAGATTAACTCAAGATTTCCGTACATCGGATAGGCACGTTTCGTATTTCAGAAACGAGCTTTTCCTTCAGAGTAATAAACAAGGGGAAGTGTTCTTCAGCTCCACTGAAAATAAATACGAAGTATTCGCAGTTTATTAAAAGTTGAAAGACTTAAAGCAGAAATAAAGAAAAACTTTTCAGTACCAGGGACAGAGAACGCCGAGACCCTAAAATCCAGACAAGCTGAAGCAGAGCGTCGCAAAGAGCTTGTTCTTGTCTTTCTTTAAACCCTTACTACTGTATATCCATTAAACCCTGAACTAATTCAAGCTACAGCATACAAATGTTTATGATTAGATGGCTTCGTTGAGCAGAATTAAGACTTTTTTTATATTGGAATACATTTTGGCAGAATGCATTGCATGAAACAGTTATACAGTACATTGAATTTCAACTCTGTGTTTAAGTTCAACTTTTTATCGTAGCAGCAGACAACAGTATCACAGAAACGATAGCGGTTGAATATGTTCTTGAGCATGGAAATGACATAAGGACAATTTGCTCAACTACCAATTATTTTATCTAAGCTTTACGGTTGACTTCTTTATTGGAGTAGTATTCTAAATTGTGCAGAGCTTTGAGAAAAGAGAGATTACTTTTCCCAGCATTTTTTCAGCAGTAGTGTGGGTGTAATAACGTTATGGCTGATCAAATGTGTGTAGTACAATTAGATATCACCCATTTCTTGTTAGGCTAACATAAATTCTCCTGGGTACTGGCATTCCCCACAATTGTAGTTATAGAAGTATTTTGATATCGCATCAGCAGGATGTGGACTAATCCTATGACAACACACTTCTTCCAGGTAACAGCAATGGCAGGGATGTACCTCTGCTACCTTGTGGCCTTGTGGACTGCATTCATTGGCATTGCACAGTGCTGCCCAGAGCCATGTGTCTGTGTGGACAAATATGCCCATCAGTTTGCTGACTGCGCGTACAAGGACCTGCTGGTGGTGCCCGAGGGGCTGCCGTCCAATGTGACCACCCTTAGCCTCTCGGCCAACAAAATCACGTCGCTTCTGTCCAAGTCCTTCATGGATGTCACCCAGGTAACGTCGCTGTGGCTCGCCCACAATGACATTGTCACCATCGAGAAGGGTACGCTGGCCGTGCTGGTCCAGCTGCGGAACCTGGATCTCAGCCACAACAAGATCATACATTTCCCCTGGGGCGACCTCTACAACCTCACTGCCCTGCAGCTCCTCAAAATGAACAACAACGAAATGGTCAATCTTCCCAGGGACGCTTTTGCTACGCTCAAGGACCTGAGATCGCTGCGCATAAACAACAACAGATTCACGTCGGTTTTGCAAGGGACTTTCGACTCTCTGAGCTCGATGTCCCACCTCCAGATTTATAACAACCCCTTCACCTGCTCTTGCTCTCTCGAGTGGCTGAGGGATTGGATTACCAATGCCCAGATCTCCATCCCGGAGCAGAATTCCATAGTTTGTGAAACCCCCGAGAGTCTGAAAGGCACCCAGGTTGTGAAAATCCCCAACTTGAAATGTGAGGCCCCCACTGTTCGCATAACATACCAGCCCAACATTGAGAATACTGAGCTTTACGAGGGCTTCATGCTGATCCTGCACTGTGAAACCACTGGAAACCCCAAGCCAGACATCAAATGGAAAATACACGCAGGGAATCAAGAAATCGAGTTCAGTTTGAAGGCTAATGAAAATGAAAAGAATGACTTACCCATGGATAATGCTAAGCAGGGTACTAATCGCTTCCTTGTGTATCAAAATGGGACATTGATCGTCCCCCGTATGAGCAAAAAGGAAGGTGGTAGTTACACATGCTTAGCTACCAATGACCAGGGTAGTGAGGAGAGCTCAGTCAAAGTAGCAGTTGCAGGCATGCAGAAACATGCAGTCAATGCAATGCACGATGCAGTGATAGAAAAGAAGCAACCATCCGAACGCAAACCTGCACCGAAGAATTCTAAAAACAGTGTGATTACCTGGCCTGACGACGGGAGCAAGCGCTTACCAACTGGGGCAAGCTACATTGCTGTGGACACTGAAAATGAAGGCCAGGTGTCCAGAGTGCCATCTTTTACCAATAAATGTGGAGTCAGCGATGGCACTCAATACATTTCCAACCACGCCTTCAACCAGAGCTCTGATGAGTTCAAACAACATACCTTCGATTTTGGGGTCATTGCCTTAGAAGTCTCAGAAACCGAAGCTAAAGTTCAGCTTAACCCTTTTCAAGTGTCTGTGAGAAAAGTGCCCTTGGACATGTTGTACCTGTGCGTCAGTACTGGCAAAGGTCACTCTGTGGTGCAGTGGTCCAAGATTGAGGAAGGTGTCAATGCCTACCGTTTCCAGGGCTTGAATCCTGGCACCAATTACACCCTGTGTCTGACTTACACAGGAGAAGACTGCCAGGTCCAGGTGGTTTTCACCACTAGGAAGAAAATTCCTTCGCTGCTCATCATAGTTGTGGTGAGCACGTTTTTGCTTGCCTTGGCCACTGTTCCCTTGTTAGGGGCCACCTGCTGCCACCTGCTGTACAAATACCAAGGCAAGACGTACAAACTGATCATGAAGGCCCAGAACCCCGATCAGATGGAAAAGCACATGTCTGCCGATTTCGACCCCAGAGCTTCTTACGTCGAGTCGGAGAAGAACTACAACGCCAGTGAGTCGGGAGAGGGCGAGGGCGAGGCCGAGGGCGAGGAGGTGGAGGGAGAGGAAGAGGTGGAAGGCAGTATGGTAAACGAATCCATCCCGGAGTCGCAGTCTAAAACGAACCAAGAGGAATTCGAGGTGGGCTCCGAATACAGCGACCGTTTGCCACTGGGAGCCGAGGCCGTGAATATCTCTGAAGAAATCAACGGCAACTATAAGCAGCCGGGTCGCTGACGCATTCCTAATAGCCGGAATTCATGTAAAATTGGTACTCTAAAGTAGGTTAAAAACCAGGTAACTTCTTAAATAAATCATTATTTCACATGAGCCCTTAAAGGCGGCGCGCCCTTTTAACATCCATAAAAAAACAAATCCAGGCTGGCCGAAAGGGAAACATGTACATAGCAACGAATGAGGATAATTCATGATATCAACTCCACACACAACATTTGGAGTCATAAAACGTCAATGTACTCAAACAATATACGGCTTAAAATGTCAAAATTTGGGAGCATAACTCCTTTAGTTGATTACGTTATGGAAGGTGCGATTGAGCGTTTGGGGCACCTATAAAAGCATATACAAAGAAAATGTGAATTGGGCTATTACACAAATAACAGCCTACTAATAATTATTGATATTTGTATATTAAATGGGAAATAAGACGCACTAAAACGACAGAAGCAAAGCATCTGAACTTCTCCTTTATGTAGGGCTTTAAGTCGCTTAATCTCATTGTGGTTTTCACTCGCCTCTGTTTCAGCAGGTCGCGGTGCTGGGTAGCGCCGTTTGCTGACGAGTCTGTGCTTTGTCCCGTAATTCTGTGAGATCTGAAGGAAATTTCACTTTTGCTGTAGCCAGGCCTCTGGAAGTGTTGGAAGACTCCGAGTCACGTCCAAAAGACAAAAGTGTTCATGTGCCGTGGAGCTCCGAAAACGTGTGACTTTTGACCTCTTTTAAATAAATGGGTGCTTAATATCCTCTCGCTTTTTCAAAAAATAATCTGTCCTCTCTTTTCAGAGATTCGTGTCCATGGCATGTCACACATGAGTATTTCAACGTGTCTTTTTAATATATAGCGTATAGGACGTTAGCTATTCTTAATGTCAGTATGTGATGTAAGCCCGGTAAATAAAAAAAAACTGCCTTCTCTTTTACTGAAAACAGAAGGTCAGTTTATGTCTGTTAACGTTATGCGTCTAAACGTTTGACGGCTTTAAGTGTTCTATAGACAAACCGACTGCTGGTTTTAAGTGACTAAATGTCAAACGATGTTTTAAAAATACACGGACTTTGAACCTCTTTTGATATGATTTTATGTACGTGAAGTTAATAAAAACATTGAAAATGATTATTGCAGTTTTCTCTTTCTTGTGACCAGGTCAACTTTTCTCATCGCACTGGGACGTTTGGGGACATCGTCTACATTTAAAACGTGAAACAGTGAAATAGCTTACAATGAAACTAACCGCTAATTAGATCTCTTTAAAATATTTGAACCCGCTTTTTATCGCGTTTTAATGGCTTAGAAGTGTGTCCTCTGAAATCTAAAAGACTAGGAGCCGTTTACGCGAAACGGATGCTGCTCAGCAGAAGTAAATGATAAACCCATGTTCAGGCGCGATCAAAATCCTGCGATTGCCTTTGAGTTTAGCCGTCAACAACAGCCATTCTTTACCCGAAAGTCCAGGTCAGTGACCTTGTATCATTTCGTATTTCGTTTGAATGAACCATAAACCTTTATAAATAAAAATATTTAATAAACACGTTATAATACATGATTAGAGAGAGGTCATCAAAATCGGCGCATAAAGTTGTAGAAAATGCAAGTCTATTACATTTTTTCTATTACAATATTTTTTAATTTGTGTACCCAAGATTCCCTTCTTCATAACGCACTAAATCATTGAGAATTAAACAATTTTATCCCTCTGAGAAACGTTTTTCAGATCACGCTATTGTAATTCAGTACGTTTAATGCTCTCTCCTAAAATTTCGGTGCGACTTATATTTAAGGCCTTTAATTAGGACTTCAGGACAGTTTTCTTTGAGTAAACACATAAACAAGGTCCGTAACACTGTATTACTATAACGAATGTTTTTCTCGTGTAATTGGAATAGTATATATACATGTGCAAGTCAAACGAGTGCTCAATGTTAACCCTTTTCTATATTGTATTAATGCTTGGACTATTTACCAATCAAATACTATTATATAGGACCTTAATTTGATATAATGCTATACTGATCTCTAACGTCAAGGATAACGTCTGGATTTTGGTAACTATTTTTAGATAAATACACACCGCGTATGTAATCTTGTTAATCGAATTTTTGAAACTGTATTATAATTGTTATCGTTTGAATTTCAGAAACCTTTAAGTTCCTTTTTGCTGTCGGGAACCAATTGAGAAACCGCGGGGGTTCATTAGTCTGTAAGAATGCTGATTTCTTTGCAAGACTACTGCATAACGATTTGCCTCAAAATTTGCTAAAAGCGTTGCAAAGAAAGGCGCGCCATTTCACTACTGGACAAGATGTACACACCCTGGCGAATCTAAATTCATCTTGGGTTTTTTTTTGTGTGTGTCTGGCGCCTTTAAGAACAGCTCTCTTTGTTGTCTGAACCTAAATGTTCACAAACGTTCTGTAAGTGTTAATTGCTAAGTGACACTACAGAGGTTTTTTCTGAAAAATAAAAATGAAGTAAAATATTGTAGCCTATAAAAATACATATGCTGTTTTTAGACAAAAAAAATAGCATCTGTTAACATCGGTTTTAATCTCAGGCAAAGGAGCATCAGTTCTTTGCATGATTATGAGTGCTGGTATCCTTGCTTAAAGCCCATCATTCCTGATGAAGAAACTGCACGAGCAACTCATGGGGAATACCGTATATTCACTTTATGGAGATTAGTCTAGGGAAGCAATGTCTGCCCATCCCATAACAAGGCTCCCCGATTTTGTCTGTCTTTTGCATTGAGTGAAGTGCTAATTATGGCTATAGGATTAATACATATCCCTTCAAAACCGATTTTATTTGCTAATAGTAATCCTCTACATTAACGTATATACACTAACTTATTTCACAATCTATTTCTCGGTTCTTGTATTACGCAGGCACATATTTCCACATGTTCACCAATTTCGAGAATTCCCATGGCTGTTAAACTTCATATTCATATCGCAGGTTTCAGCGTCACAGGACACAAAGTAAGATCACTTTCAGAATTGCTGCGGATAGTCTGATGCTTCCAGACTGGTTAAAAACTAACTGTAAGAGATAACGGTCTTTAAAAAAACAGACAACAGGGCTGCTAAAGGGAGTGGATATCTGAAATGCGCGTTAACAACACCACAAAACACACGAATTAGCACAGATTACAGTCGTTTGGGTTCTGGGCAGCGCAGGCGGACATATGGAGAGATCGCATTAAACGCGCAGTAACACTGCAGTACAAGAAAGAAATGACGGTAATTGTCAGTGCAACAAAACATTTTAATCTCATTTTTTAAAATTTCAAAAGAAATATCTGGCACTTACGATTTATCACGTACATGACACAAATATTACAGTAACCGCACAAAAGTATCTGCTGTTCCATGTGCGCTGAGAATTTTTACTTTGAACGAAAGTCAATGCAGATACACTCAAGAGTAAAACCAGTTATGGAGTGCTGCTCTTAACTTCTGCCAGTATAAATAATTCTACAAAGATCTACAACTGCTTCAGCTTCGTAAACTTATGATTTAATTTAATTAGTTATCGGTTTACTTCTTCATGGTGCGGCTTCATTGTCCTTTGACCTAGCCATGTTAAAACCCAGGATGCGTGTGAATGAAAGTTGACTATGACATGAAGAATATTTGTACATTCATGAATTCACAAGTGTTAACCATGCACAATGGTCAGCAGTTAGCTGCAGCTTTGAAATTCTCAGATGAGTAAGTGATTCTGGATGAGAATTGAAAAAATAAAAGAGAATATGGACAACATATCCTGACAAATTGTAAATTGTATACAGAAGCTATAGTATAAGTTTCCTAAGGCACTGGTCATGCTTACTTATTGACAGATGAGGAGCCATTTCTATACTTACTGTAGACAAAAACACAAGCCCAACAATAACCAATACTGTATCAGAAGAACCTCGCTGAATTCTTCTACTTATTTCTGGGCCTTGTTGATTAATGAAAACATCTACTGTCAATAGCACTTAGGCGGCCAGCTTCTCTGGTTCTTTGCTGCCGTCTTTGGAGGCGCGGTTGAGCGTCCCATTCAGAAAGGCATCTGAGCTCTGGCACTGGAAGTGCTTCCTGGATGCCACCAGAGAGGGGTTGTTGACCAAGGTGAAGAGGAGCAGCCAGCGTGCCCGAGCCCTCCTGGAATTGGACAGTTTGCTCTGCTTCTTCTCCTGCTGCACCAGGTGGATTCCTGCGAGCATGGAAGACGCTGTCAGGACAGAGACCAACGCTTCACAAAGGGGTAAACCTGACACAGATGGCGAGCTGTTAAAAATTCCAAGAGGTCTGGAGACTCTCCAGAGCACCACAGACCTTGGCCTTTTTTAGGGTCCATCTGGTGCGTTTTGCCTACTGTAACTATGCATTTTTAAATGCAGAAGCAGTAACTACAATTACTACTTTTCAGGCGTGTACAGTTAGGCAAGGGGAGAATGATACTGGCTGTTTTGAGGCATGGTGACAGCAAATCTCCATTTAGCTATGCTTGCATCCCCCTGTTTAGACTTGTACATTTTAACGATAAAATCAGATGACCAAGACATACTGGCATTATTTGATAATACTGGTCAAATCAAATGGTGGTGGTGAAATGTAAAGTCAGCTAGAGGACTACAAAGGAACATGAAAATGATCATTTCTAGTTATTTCTACTCAGTTACCTTTCCAGCTTCATTTCAGGACGTTGCCAACACTGCAGCATTATGACTACAAGTACTAAGATCAGTTGTGAATTCTGTTTGTGGAGCTAACTAGTTGCATTAAAGCATTAAAAATGAGGTTCAAAATTTAACAGGGAGCATGTTCACTTCTGCACAACATAGTAGATGTCCTCAGGAAACCGGTTACCGTTCCACGTGAATCCAAACCTTGAGCTAACCGCCAATTACAGCTCAGTGGCAGCTGTTGTAGCAAGAGCCCTCTTGCATCCACCCACCATAAGGTCGAGCCCTAGCGTTTGTGATCACCGGGTGTCCAGACCATTTCTTTTCAAAATGCTTTATTGAGTTATCAACTGCTCTCTCGACGTTGGAAATGGAGGTCAGCACTGTAGCCGCCTCATTCACCAAAGATTCCAATTCTAAGAGAAGGTAAAGCACCAAATCCGTAGGCTTGTCATTATCGCAGAAAAATGTTTTGTGATCAAGGTCCTGTGTGAGCTAGAGAAGGTGCACATGTACAAATGCATCTCGCATGCATACGTATACACATGCCGGTAACCGGTATTCTTCACTTTAAAATCATTTTTTTGGGGGGAGTCAGTAGAATATTAATAATAATAATGTAATGTTTCTTTATTAGCCCTACTGTATACAATTTCTTGCATTAGGAATTCATCTTTTCGCATACCCCAGCTTTTCTCCATGGAGACACAGACACACAGACAGGGAGAGAAGCTTGGGGTCAGAGCGCAGGGTCAGCCATTGTACAGCGCCCCTGGAGCAATTAGGGTTAAGGGCCTTGCTCAGGGGCCCAACGGAGTAGGATTCCTCTGCCGGCCGCGGGATTTGAACCGGCAACCTTCCAGTCACAGGTGCAGATCCTTAGCCACAGAGCCACCTCCGCCCATATATATTATATATAATATAGTGCATGCAATGTATGTACATCAAATCTTTCCAGTGTTCAATTAAGCGAAAAGCTTGTCATCTCGTAATTAGTTTTCTAATGACAGTGAATGCAATTAAAAATAGGACCATCAATATCACCTGGACCATATTCAGTGCTTTCAGTGAACACCTTTGCCTCTGTCCTTCAGGTAACATTAAAAAGCAAATGCAGGTGGGTCACAGTAAGTGAGTATGATCTGCTCTTTTGCAGTTAATACCGATAATTATTATCTACTGTACATAAGCATAGAATCATTTCCAACCCTTGTCACGGTTATACACTTCAGCTTTTGCAAGTGCCAGTCACATGATGTCATTACCGGATATCTTCGAACCACAACAGTTGTAAAATAACACACATACTCCCATTGCTTGGACCCTTTTCTGTCCACCTCTCATTTTACTGTAGATTTACTTCTGCGTGTTACTAAGCTGTGCAACCCTGTCACCTCCAATTAGGATTAAAGGACTGCCATGCCAATATGGTGCTGATTTGTTCCTGCCTGAATGCATTTCCCCATCTGAGCCGCCTGGCATCAGCACGTTTGCTCAACACGTACAGATTGAAGTGGCAGGAAAGGCTGTAGCCTTCAGATTTCCTCACATTTCTAGTATCTTATGGTTGCTAAAATCCTGTTAGGTGTTCTGCTATAATTGTGCAGACTGTAACCAAGTCCATTCCCGACTCTCCGTTGGCTAATAATCTAAAATCGATCCAAATTTCTAAAGATTAATTAACTTTATTTACACTGCTGTTTACGATTTGTAATTGGCAGTAATCAAAAAACAGAACTGATCCTGACAAAACCCATGTAGAATATCTGTTTGGAAGGTCCAGTTTTCAACATCCTTGAAATAACTCTTTAAACTTATTTAAAAACACAAACCTTTCAGGCTTTAGATAGATCTAATTCCAGTCTCAGTCTTCCTGAATCTTTCTGTAATGTCTAATCCATGTGTAATCATGCAGCAAAGGTCTGTAATCATGTGTTAAAACTAGTGTAGAAAATGTGTGATGGCTGTAATCACACAAACCATCAGTGCAGGTTGATAATAATGATCTATAAAAAACAAAACGCTGCCCCTCGATGTCCCTGCTATGATGGGGTAAAGACGGACATGTTGTAGAGGGACAAGAGAGAGCGCACTGGCAGTCTGGACCACGCGGTGCAGTACAGGAAACTGACCTTCTTCCGCATCCCGGATTTTCTGTTCAGCACTGCCCTCAGGGGCTGGAGACTGCAGCAGCACCCCGCAGAACGCTTTCATGACGGGGTGGGACTGGCTGACCTCAATCTTCAGGTAATGTGCATAGCAGCGATACCCTGCAGAGGGGAGAGTAAGAACACGAGTGCTCAATGCACTGAGTTTCCCCGGTACAGACCAAACAGAATGTACCTTTAGGCGCATTTAAACAAGAGTTTATGTCCTTTCTTATTAATTTACAAAAATCAATGATAAAGAAAACAGAAAAGACACTTATTTTATTGCAGACACTGCCTTTATGCACTGTGTAATCATACCCAAGCTGTTCTGGCCAACATTCAGTTTTTCTCCAGCATCATCTGCTCAGAAATTGATCGGTGTTTATGTTGGAGCACGTCAGAAACACGAATTATAGATGCTGTTTTTAAAGAATCTATAAAACGGTCTTACTGCCTTTCCCCAAGATGGAGTTTATATCTTCTTTTTTTCCTGTTATTACTTTTAGAATCACAAGGACCTATAACAGGGTCTCTGGTGTTTTGTTTCACTTCCAGCTCAGTCACAGCAGAAAGACAAACACATGTAACTATATAGAATCTCTATAATGCATTCCTCTGTTAATTGGAAGAAAATTGCCAGGCTTTCATAGTAAAACACAAAGTTTACCTTGGAACACTCAATAACATACTGTTTTTGTTTTAAACATACTTCTGTAAAATGACATCTGTTTTCAATGCATTTGGAGAAGCTAAAGCTGTACATCATTGATATAATACAATATTACATGTGTCATAACTAATTTGTCAAACCACTTTACAGAAAATGTATATCTAAACTGAGAAGAGTAACAAAAACCTTTAAGCAGCATGTAAATGGGAACTGATAGACCACACTATTCAAATGGAGGGGAAATGATTTATAAGGGAACATGAGACTTATATCTTATACACATTAATAAAAGCATTATGAAACAAAATTGATTTTGCTGGTACTAATCTGTAATGATGTGAAGATACAAATCCAATTTAGGTTATTTAGACTCAACTTAACAGGTCAGAATGCATTAATACAAACAATATCAATGACAGGCTTCCAGTAGAATTAGAAAGGAGGCATTTAATTTCTGCTGCCCTGAATCTGTAGATTGTTGGTTCTGCTTAATGTGCACATAATAATGGGAAAGCTTTTGAAAAAAAGTGTTGAAACGGATTATATAAGCATAAAAAAAAGATTTACATTGCAGAACTTTAAAAACAAAGCAAAACTTTAAAATCAGCAATCCAATAACTCCTTTTTAGGGAATCTGGATTACCTGTAATATGGTGGATCCCAGAATGCATCCTGGCAATTAAAATGAGCAGCACACATTGCTGTTGAATTGTATTCAAGGAAATAAGTTTGCTCAGCACATTAAGAAGCTGTGTGACATGGAAGGGAACATCATGGACTTACCAGGGTCAAAGCCCTCTACTCCACGGTTGAGAAGGCTGATGTCCAGTCGCCCCAGGTGGACAATGTTGAACAGGGCCGTGATCACCATTCTCCAGATGCCCAGCAGCACCCCAGCGAGTACATTGACAGGGAACAGGAGGTAGGTGAGGAGGAACAGGCCATTTCTGCAGGGTCAGAGAAAAAATCCAGGGAGTAAACTTTTTAGTGCGATCTACTCATTTTTGAACATCTATGCATTTTTTCACATAGAGGAGGTTCAAATTCTTCAACTTCCCAAAACATTTAATGTTCTTTAACTTGTGGTAAATGTTATATAAAATTGGCAAACACTTGTGATGATCTCAAACAGAAACATCAAACTAGGTGTTCAGATAAAACTACAACTTTCAGAATTTTTTGAACTCCTATCCAACCATGAAACATGCCTTATACAGAATTTGGTTTATCACATGGTTATACATTATTAAAAATGACATGGTTCATTTTCCTGCTACAACAGGAACTCCCAGACATTCAGATGTACCTGTTGTCTAAGTCTCTTGTCCCTCCATCTTTTTTGAGGAAGGCAAACTGTGCTGTCACATGCTGAAGCACGACAACTAAGATCAGCAACAGCCAAAAGGGCCTGTAGAAAGAGTCAATATGAGAAGAGACTGGAGAATGGAACTAACTTCCGCACCCCAAGTGTACAGACAAAGATTAGGCCAAAGAACTTTTAATACAACTGTTCTTTAAAGTCAAGCCAAAAACTTTCTGAGACCAGAAGGCCAAAATTAACCATTCAGCATCAATTCCATTAGTAATCTAGACAGTCATAAGAAAGAAAGTCTATAATTAACAGAATTAAAAGTTTAGCAAACATTGGAAATAGACAATGCCTTCATGCAAAAGGAATCCATAGCTTTAAAAAAAGCCTATCCCCATCCACAAGCTGTAATGGGTAGGGAAGGAGAGCACCAGTACTCACCACATGGTCTTGAGGATGCGGAAGAGAATGAGGTTCTGGCCATACAGGATGGGGATGACGATGAGGAACACGAAGAACATGATGCAGATGAAGAACACCAGAGTCTGGATCAGAAGGCCTGGCAAGAGAGTTAGATATGAAAAACAGCATCACGGGAAGTACTATCTGATGAAATCTGAACAGACATCAGTGTGGGCTAGCTGAAGGTCAGGAGGACATTAAAGCTAAACGTATGCTTCTGTAATTAATGTATCTCTAACTTATAATGACAGATGGAATCTGTGGACATGCAAATCTACAACCAAAATGTTCAGAGTTTAGACAGACTCCGATAATATTCTCATATAAGTAATTTTATTTTTTATCCAGCAACTAACGTTTGGCTTTTCCTTGGTTGCATTCTTGCCTGTGCGCCACTGCATAACTCTGTTAATACGTATTTGAGTCTTAACTGTAACATGAATTAATCCTAAACTTTGATGTTCCAGCTTGAATGACAATGAGTCTATGTTTCACCTTTTAGGGAATTATATCACGAATTAGATGCAAAGCAGGAAAAGTAATCAAAAAACAGAACAGCAGGTGTGAGCCTGGTCAGTACCTGGATGAGAGGCTAAGGTTACTTTTTCCCAGAAGGTGGTAGAAGTGAGGCCAGCAGGGGGCGCTCACCCCGTGGTCTGTGTGGGTCCTAATGCCTCAGTATAGTGACAGGGACTCTATACTGTAAAAAGGTATCGTCCTTCAGATGAGATGTAAAACCAAGGTCTTGACTCTCTGTGGTCATTAAAATTCCCAGGGCATTTCTCAAAAATAGTAGGGGTAACCCCCCAGTGTCCTGCTAAATTTCCCCCTGTCCTTTACCAATCATGGCCTCCTAATAATCCCAATCATGGCCTCCTAATAATCCCCATCTATGAACTGGCTTCATCACTCTCTTCTCCTCCCCACCAAAAGCTGGTGTGTGGGGAGCGTACTGGTGCACCCTTGCTGCCGTCTCATGATCCAGGTGGGGCTGCAAACTGGTGGTGGTGGAGGGGATCCCCATTACCTGTAAAGCGCTTTGAGTGGAGTGTCCAGGAAATAGCTATATACAGTAGACCACATAATACAAGTAGCTCTGACAGGAAATGGTGAAGCTCAAAATTTGACATGTAGAAAGTCTCTTGGACCAATAAAGTTACCTAAGCAGATGAGAGCAGCTTGGTAACTGGTGAAGCCCATCCAACAAACAACTGCCATTCGGGATGGGCGAATATTTCTCTGGCAGTTGTACACATTGTAAATGTCTCCCCGGTACAGGCCTTTGAGGTTAGATCTGAAGAAAAAGAACAAGACAGTCGAAAGCAAAGACTTCTGGGAGAACAGCACCCAGTTTTCCCATAGAAGCTGCACTCTCTCAAATTCATCCCCTTAAATTCCAATTGTTAATGAGGGAAGAGGAACAAGGACAAAAAAGTTGTGCTCTGAATAAAAGGAAAAGAAACTTTGCACATGCTAAAGAATGCAAATTGTCACCTCATTACATCTTATCTGCCATCACTCTATAATCGCCTCGTTTGCATTCTCTTAGATAATAGTTGTTAGCCCCAAGTTCCTGTTATCTGCACAATTACAGTATTATAAGGATTTAATTTGCTAAATATTAACTCTGCCCTTGCATTACTGTAGCCTGGCTTGGAGCTACTTGAAATCTCATTACAAGCACTGCACGTAGAAGATTTGGCTGAAGACTGTAGAATTTGAGCTAAACTATATTAAAATTATTTCAAGCAGAAACAGCCAAGGCTTAAAATGCTCAGACATGTATGTTTAAGCGTCATTAATTTTAAATACAAGCCCAACAGGCTCCCTTCGTTGAACTAATATATTCTATGTAGTTCTTGATAAGACTAAAAAATGGTTTATTTCTAGAAAATCATAATGTGTACTATTCAAAGATATACAAATCTATGCACACTTATTCCTCTATTAGTATACAGTCACATGTGCACAACCATTTTGAAGTTAATAATATATTGCCACTTTTCTTTAAAGGATCCCTCTCAAAACACTGCCTGAATGGACTCTTCCTTTATCTCATAGTCCATAAACTGAAAAAAAAAAACATTTGCTCAAATAGCTTAGTTGATAGCCTACTTTTAAAGTTTGAGATTGAGGGAAATTAAAAATAAATATAGAATTTTATAAAATAGATAGCACCATGTACTGGATTATTTCTCTATCAAAATAAAATAGCAATTAAATATGCCTGAGTCGTGTACATTGGTCACACTGAATACAATTGGTCTTACATTAGCTGTAAGTTATCTTGTTGATCACAATTACATTATTTCACAGGATAAGATCCCTAGAGAAAAGGGAGGCTTAGAGACAGTGTTATTCATCACTGTTTGGTTTTGTTTTCAGATACCCACACCCCATGTCTTCACTGACAATATCAAAAGAGTTGTACCCTAGAAACAAATATATTAACATTTACTATGCGGTGATATTTAGGAAAGTAAGAAAAGGTTGAGACAAAAGACAAAACTTGAAAATTCACTTTAAATGGATGAATTCAATTTTACTTAAAAATGTCCATGTTAAACTAAAATGCTGAGAATCAGGGTATAAACATACTTCTGATTTTTCTGTGCTTTTAGGCTTTTTTTCCTGGTCTAGACCTGGTAAGACAAGGTAAGTTGCCTGTACAACAAATCTCTATTGTTCTGCAACTTTTCTACAGTGCTAACCTAGCAAATAATTTCACAATGAAGCCAGTTGTTCCACAAATTCAAAAATAAAGAAGCTTTCAAAAGGGAACTATGGGAACAACAGGACCTTGACACTACCTTCAGGAATCGGTCAGACACAACAGGATTGGATCAGGGTGGAGACGGTTTACCTGTGTAAAACCATGGATCTCATGAGCATGGTGAAGGTCACTAGACAAGACAGGGTCACTGATGAAAGGTAGCACACTGCAGAATAAAAGCACATGATGTCACACAAACTCACATGGTGCCTTTGTTAATTTGGTACTTTTTGAATAAGGAACAAGAGGCTGTCTCAGATACATCATGTAGTCTACGTGGCATTAGGGTTAGGTCTTGGGTTAGCTACAGAGATTGGAGAAACCCACAGCCAAATAAGGCAGACATGGGTTTTTCACTGAACAATGAACTGTGTGATATTCCCATGCAAGAATTCATTATCCATTCACTTTGACGTGTAATATTGAGACGGCACAAGTCAAGTAACCGTACATAAGTCCCAGTCAAATACTGACACCAGGAAAGTACATTCCAAAAATATTTCCAGGTCTGGCTTTTAGTAAAGCACAGCCCTTCTAGAGATTCTAGTATACCTCATCAGCTTTCACTTCAGACTTTTCTTTAAACACATAATATTTAGGAAACTTCAGCAGTGAGCAGACAGCATCAGTACTTTCAGGCCTAAGCAGAAAGACACACACCTTCTACACACCACATGTAGTAGCTCACGATCTTTACCACCTCCGCCCGGTCTTCAGACAGGTGGATGTTGAAGCCAGCCAAAAGGAAGGCAATGTCTTCGTTGACGCCTGCACGCACTTTCTGAAGGGTGGGGACCACAAACGTGACCAGTAACAGTGCCACCTGAGGTCAAAGAAGGCCGTTTCAAACACGATGGAAAAAACATCGTAGCTCTGGTCACTGGACTATAAATGTCAACTTACTGTACATCAAATAGGCCAAAGAGTGGGTAAACATGTCACTGCTAACAGACACTTTAATTTCACATTTAATCTAACTGCTAAGAATGCACCTTAATTGTAGAAAAAGGTTAATAATATCAGTACAGTACTACCAATAATGATAAATATGAGCAAAGTCAGTTTGTACCTGATACACCGAAATGAAGGACACTACTGCAGAAATTGCCAGCTTCAAGGGAAACCGGAAAACTGTAAGGAGTGGAATTAAAGAGTTAAATATTGGTTCATAGCATTTTATTAATATTTATCAGTATGTCAGCCATGTCGATTTTTTTTATCCATTGTTTTTGACATATGGTAAAAGACAAAGAACCTTATAGTCCAGTAAAAGTTGAAGACTGTAGTATGGTTCTTTAGTGAGAAACCACCAGCCACCCCATCCCACTGATGCTACTGTATAGCAGAACTTGTGTGTTGTACCTTCTTCTGGTGTGTAGATATAAGACCTGAGAGACTCAAGGATCCTTGCAGACAGTGTAGCCTCTGCTGTGCAGGAACTATGGAAGAGAAAAAAAAACAGAAAATCAGTTTCTTATTGTTCCACTGAGATACACTGCTAAGACTTAGCTAAGGGACAATCTTGAGAGTAGTCTGAGTGATATCAAGCTGTAGTCTCCCTCCTCTTCACTTGTACTGGTGCTCCAGATTCTGCTTTTGGCTACATAGAGTATTTTTGCAAGACCCAAAAATCTCTGCTCGGTGTGGTATCATAAGATTAGTGCCAAAATCATGTCACCTGAAGCTGTTTAAGCCTACAACGAGACAAATAAAAGAACACGCTGCTTTAGGAATTCTCCAAATCTGCAGCACACATACTGCAATGATTGAGACATGCTGTGGCTCAGTGAAGCAGTGCCATTGCATCTTTTCTGGTGGCTCTGAAGAAGAGGAGCAGTTGGCGTGGGTCAGATGAGAACTGGGTATTCCATTTGATTTGGCAAATTACTCCTTGTAGTTTTTGATCATGCGATTAAAGCTCCCTCCTACGCAAGCTATTCCTGCCAACTGGGCACTGTGCTGCTCTGCCATTACAGCAGGGCAATCTGCTCCAAGGTTCTTACCAGTCACATTCCTGTGTGGGAACACATTTGCATTGGGAAATAACAGTGTGACCATATTTCCCCATCCAAAATCAAGATAACTGCTGTTCAGTCTCCTTCCCCCTTGCAGCTGTGTAGCGTCTGGGGAAGGAAGGAGCCCTCCTTTTGCCTTTACAATGAGGGCCATGGGTTTTTCCCCCGTCACGTCCTAGACTAGCAGTTTTGTAAGGATCTCTGGTCACACTGCACTGGCCTGTGCTTTCCATGTTTTATTTACATAGCACACCCCCTACCTGCAGCAATATAAAATTTAGAAATCTTCAATTAAAGAAACAAACCATGCAGAAACGGTCAAGTAAAATTTTCCAGTTATGTTTTTATTAGGGGGTTCAGACCGAGAGCCTGCAAGAGGCTATCGAAGCACTGCTAATGGAAATAAATCTTCCCTACAGATAATAAATATGAAAAAACAAAACTCAGTTTGCTCTCATAGTAGCTTTTTAATAATTATAGTTTATTACCATATAAATAAAAATAGGACGATAAGATATAAAGTTGAAGAATTCAAGTGTAAAAAAAATACAATTAAAACAGTACACAGGCGACGTGGATACAGAGCAGTAGTGGACTCCCTGTAGGTACTGTATGTGTTCTATGCTTGCAGTGAGAAGATCACATTACCAGTACGAGAACGAAAATCATTAGGGCGATATAGAGAATGAGTTATTGAAGGATGTAGGTGAGAGCTGGAAAGGGGCAGGTACTGTGTAATCCAATGAGTCCTGAGCAGGTGCCAGAAGCTGGTCAGAGACACAGCAGCTCTGATTCCTGAGTGAGGGGTGAAGGTGGAGAATGAACAGGTTCTGGAAGTGGGATAACAGAGAAGGAGCACAGAAAGTCTGCTGCAAGAGAAGTGTAGAAGAGGGGAGGGTGGAGGGAGTGAGGACAGACTGGAAACAGACAGGAGCAGAGTGGTTAAGACAACAGCAGGTGAAAACTAGAACTAGGTAAGCGAGGACTTTTTGTTTCAGGCAGGAATACCTCTACTTGACTATATGCCATAAGAATCTTGTTTGTGTGGAGATGATGGGCATCTATCTCCGTTGAAAAAAAACACAAAACCTGCTCATGTATAACAAGGAACACAAAGACGATTTCTAAATACCAAGAGCTCTGAATTATTAATTTTTTTCCTGAAGATGCATTGCCAGGAAGAAGTTTTCTCAAGAGGCTTAACCGATCTACTGCAAGACAAGCTCTGAAATGGTTTGGAATTGAGCCCGTATAAGCAAGAGACGCGACCCTCTGAGGGTCTCGCCCTCAAAGAAATAGCTGCCCTGTGTCCAGGGCAGCCAGCTGGAAAAAGTCTGGATCTTGTTCAAACATCGAAAATGCATAAAGGTATTCAGTTATAGGCTTTGTTGTGTTTGACAGTTCCGGCCAAGGGAAAATATCTTTTAAAAGATCATTCCTCTAAGCCTCCCATTTATATGCAATGAACAACTATCCATTTCCCACAAGATCATAGGGCTACAGTGCAAGACGTCACCAGGAAGTCTTCTGACAAAAAAAGTTCAAACATGTATTTATTCCGATTCTGTAAAAAGAGAAATAAATAGAAAATAGAAACATACCCTGTAAACACCACTTTCTTTTAACATAGATCATTGGTTGCCCAGGAGTTTCAACTTGTAGAGTCTGGTTTCTGGCGAACATATGTTGTGTTTAGACAGTTAAAAGCGTAGCTAATGGCTTTCAGGGTCTTACAATGTAGAAATTTCTTACCATGAAAAACTAAGAAAAAAACCCAATCTGGACTTAGAACAAGATCTTCAGCCCACACAAACCGGCTCAAATCCTATAATCCACATCCTCCAACACAACATCTATCAGATAACTTTTAAGATTTAAAGCACAAATCTCAAAAGTCCATCTTAAGATGTCAAAGCTCACTTGCAAAGGATTTGAAATATGCAGGCATAGTGGAATATTGTGAAAGCTGGAATTATTTCTCATAAACTCTCCCACCTGTTTTTGGAGGGCTTCTTCTTCAATATTTCCTTCACATAGTCTTTATAATAGCTGCTGTACAGGTCCTGAAACACAGGAGATATTTGGTGCAAGTCTAAAAAAAAATTCCTGAGCTGAGAAAGACAATCATCAGCTGAAAACATTTGGAGTGTGATGTGGTCCCAGGTCTAGTTATCCTGATACTTCAGTCAGCTCTGCGTCACAACAAGGATTTTCCAAGAGATTATCAACAAATAAACACAGCATTGTGTTAGCAAAGAATTTGCTGTGGGAATAACACATCTTTCCCCATAATCTGTTCAGAAACTCAATGTAAACCAATTACATCAAAGCAGCTTATAAAGATTATGACTCTGGAATGTTGTTTTGGAGTTTATATGTTTCTTCTGCTTCAAGTCTTTTCAATGTAAATGTCTTCAATCAGGCCACTTTGATTTTTCTTCAGGACATGCCACTGTGATATACATCTTAAGGACGATTGAAAAACAAAATACATCTAACAGTGTAAGTAGGAAAACAAGCAGGAAACAGAAATTAAAGAAGAGTACAAAGTTTTACAATACCACGCGTTTTTCTGCAGCAAAGGATTTAGGGGTCAGAGTAAAGCTTTTTAATCAAGAGAATAATTTGCTTTACCTGCTTTATTCAGATAATTACTTCCCTAGCAAAATTTCTTATTGAATACAAATCAGGTTCTCATTAGGGTAGTGTATTTTATAATTATACAGTGGCTACATAAATAAATAAAATTAAACAGAAATGCATATATGAGCTCAAATATTGATACAAGTCAACGAGGTAATCCAAACCCAAAAGAGTTGTGTTACATGGGAAATGTCAGTAACAGCAACCTTTTTAGAAGAGTAGTCCTTTGCATAGTACATGATCTGCCTGTTTTCTCTTACTGCACACTTACCTCACTGGCGTAAGTCTGCCCAGTACCCCTGGAGTTCTTAAATAAGAGCAGGGGATACTGAAAACTTAGGAAAGCCAGGCAGCCGATCTGTGGCAGGCTTGTCAGTAGAGAATAATATTTGTAGATCTGGGGGGAAAGCAAATTATTTCATCAGTTCAAGGTACAGAATCAGCATGAGAGCTTCCTACTGTATCACTGTCTTTCACTAGCATGACTTGAATTCCATCTCCCTACTTATGTCTGATGCTTTCTCAAAGACAGTGAGGATACCTTGGCAATGTTAGGCTGTCAGAACCTCTCACTATGCACACCTGTCATAGTCATCGATTAGTTCACTTCAGTTCTCATCTGGAAAAAGAAAACTAAAATATCTTCTGTTGGGACAAATAGAAATTCGATAGTTTCAAGATGAATAGCACAAGCCTATTCAGTACTCACATGAGCCAGACAATAAATATTTATTTCTGTCTGTTGCTGAAACACTAACAGCTACAGTACACATTTGTGCATGAGATACCAAGACTAGTATCCACAGAATTAGAACAGCATAATTTATAGGCAGATAAGAGGGCTACAAAAGCACCTGTTGGGACTTATGATGAAATGTTTTTAGTCCTTTTTTAAACAAGATCCCACTGAAAAGAGCATTTCATGTGAACAAACTAGATCTAAATTTCTATCTTCTTACCCTGCTCTTCGGCTATTGCATGTCTCATAAGAAAAGTTTTGGAGTGGCCGGAAAACAATGCCAAAGAAAGAGGAAAAAAAAAGTTTTCAATGCTAGTTTAAGAAGATAAATGTTCCTCGATTCTAAGCTTGGGAGCATTTCACATTCCAACTCACAAAAGGGCTAAACTGATTAGCCAGGGGAAAGAGCCTCACTATAGAGACAGGCTCTCAGCTGAACGGATCAGTTGTGAAGTTCCTCCATTCATTCCACAGCCTCCAGAAAACAGAGCTACTGTGTGTGGAACATTAAAGCAATTAGCTGAACTCCACAAGCATCAATACTTACCTAGGGATCAAACTGGCTCAGGCTTCACTGAAACCAGGCAGGGTGAAACTGGGTAACAATTCGAAACTTAATCATCAACTCAGAACAGACAGATTGGAAAAGAACAGTCTAAGCAATCAATAAAGTCATCAAGCAAAATACTAAACTTAACTGCATTTAACTATAGCATATAGATTTTAGCTGGAGCCTAAAATCTTTGCATTCCAGTAATGGACTTAATTTCCATTAAGAATGACTTATAAGTAGAAATGGTCTAAAATCTTCAGAGTATGTTGCATTCATCCATTCAGTAGGCTTGGTTAGAGCGAGATGCTTTCATGCCTTTTCACTTAACATTTTGATTAAAAACGCTTTAAAAAGTAAAATATGTACTGAAGCCCCGTGAACAAAGTCTGCGCTTTTCATAATTACCGCCTATCCCAGGACACTACAGAAAGATGTGACATGGGTCTTTCAAGAAAACCAGAGACCAGAAGACCCCATTCAGCCACAGAGATTGCTGGGGGCTCTTCCAAGGTCAAACAGAAATGTTAAGGTTTCCTATTTATATCTAAGGAGTAGCTCCTTCAGAGTCCCAACATTGAACCAGAAGAGGAAGAACAAACTAGCCTGAAACTGTGCTCAACACAGGATCTAGGAAAAACTTGAACCTCTGATCTTCTCAGTAATGTTTGAGCATCCAAAATATCTGACTTCCTGCTTAATGTTTCTGCTGCGCTTTCAATGTGGTGCGTTTGTAATTTACTTTGCTGTATTGACAGATTGAATGTTTGTGCGGACGACAGACAGCGTTTGGTCTGTACTGCTCGCTGTTGTTTACCTCAGTCGTCTTGGGACAGTCCACTTTCTGCCACACTAGGATGGCAAAGTGTGTCCAGGATAGCAGGCTGCCCAGCACATAGCCAACCTGGCTGTGCAAAGTGCCACAGGCCAGCAGGGGGTAGTAGAGAGCAGGGTAGTAGAAGAGGGACACGATCTTCCAGTACTCTGGAGGAAACAATGTGCTTTCCTTTAGAGTTGAGGTGGAGAGCAGAGTAAGTTCAAAATGCTGATCTTGACAAATGCAACGTACAAAAGAGCAATTGTGTCAAATGTGCTGAAAGATCTTAAAGGTGTCTGAACCCCACAGTTAGACTATGAAATCAGAGGACAGGGTGGTAAGATCGAACTGCCACGGGTCTTTGTGAAAACACAGAAGCAAACAGGAAACAAATCCAAGACAATCAAATTGGTGATGTTCTGCATTTAAATGCACATGTATAAAAATCAAGGTTACAGCAAATTTTACAGTGGCCTACATCTCGACAGTAAAACATGCAATGATTCTCAATTGATAGATAAATATACAGTAGATAGCCTGCCCTGTTGCTGACATCTAAGTCTTTGGACTATAAATAATAAGAGCATGCCCTGTTGGTGACAATCAATGCTGTGAAAAACTGTATTGAAGATACAAACACCTTTCAGTTCAATCCCTCACTAGTTGCTGGGCCACATTTAATCAAATCTGACATCTAAATGCCAGTAATAAAGTAATAACTCAAGTACTCCATGGGTGGATTTCTATTGCGTAGACAGCAGAAGCACCCAGACAAGCAAAAAGACCCCCCCTCCCCCCTCCCCATCAACTAGCGGATTTATAGTTTGTGAGTAGTGGATGAGCTGAGGTTTTCATTCAATCCTAGTGTTTGCCAAAGATCACAAAATGACCTCTAATTCCTTTGATTTTATAACACTACTACACATATACATAACACCACACACCCAAATAAGGGCCCCAACAGCTGAAACATTGTGTTTTATTTTCTCTTAAACATGGAATTAATCTCTATTGTTTTTTTTGCCGCTCACACACTGAAATAGCTCTTCACTACTAGTCAGCATCTTACTACTAGTACTGTTGATAATTCATTGCATATACGGTGCAGTACAATGTATTTCATCCCTAAGGATCCTCAAGCACTTTACATATAGGAAGAGACCCTCTTCAAACCCACCCTGTTGACTTGGGGCTGCCATTCTACACCAGCAGCCCCACAACACAGGTAAGGAAGATAGGCAGGGTAGGGAGAAATGTCTTCATCAACTGAATAAATGGGGAATCTTTATGTATGCCAGACTGAGCCAACCCAGAGTGGAATTTAGCCAAGACGTAAGGGTTAACAGCCCTACTTAAAGGTTAGGTCGCAGCTGTAAGACACCTGGAACAAAAGGCAAAAGCCCAGGAAATCTCATTCAGCCAGACAGATTGCTGGGAACTCTTTCGTTGCTAATAGTGGTGTCACGGTTTCCTACAGTACAGTATGTACAGGATCTCTCCCTAGTAGTTGCATCGCTGTACTAGAAGAGGTAGAAGAATTGTGTGCAAAGTCAGTAGTGCGCCCTGATTTTCCTCTGTGATAAAATACAAAAGAATTCAGCACCGTTTCTTCGGATTTGAGCTGAGACCCTGTGGGATAAAAGTGACTCATCCTGCTTCCAGGATGATTAACCTCCATCTCGTCTTCTTCCCAGAAAAGACATACAAATGAGGATCCTTTTTTTTTTTTAAGAAGCCTGCTATTTCTCCGAACTCCTGGCTGTAATTCAGTCATTTATCACATGATGCTCTGGCCTGTTACTTAGTCAATCACTTTCAAGGTCTCCAAGGGGATAGATACTACGGTTGCTACAGCAAAAACAAGCATCATGCTTTCTAACTTGCATCCAGATCCATGAAAATGTGCAAACTACGGATTGCGTTAGGCAAAAGCCTCCTCACCTCTGTGCTCCTGGGTAGAGTTTTTTGTGAAGGGCAGGGGGTTCTCAGCCAGCACCAGCACACACAGCTTGCAGAACAGAACTCCAAAGACAGCCACAGCCAGGCCCTTGTGTCGCGTGTGATCCAGGAAATTTACAGGGCTGAAGGCAGAACAACCCCGAATGAACACCATGAGCACAGAACCAAGTACATCACCAGTCTGGCTGGGGGTGGGGATGATACAGCCAGACAGATACTGCACACCTCACAATTTTTAATTTTTTTTTTTACAAAACAGTACAAGCAAAGTTTCAAAAGTAAATCCAAGTCTGAGGTGGTTTGCATTCACTTTACTCCAAAATACATTATTGTGGCCCTCTGGTGCATTTGGACAAAGAAAAGAGCATTTTTGGCAGCACCTTTTCAAATCAACAAATTACACTGCGCAGTGCTAATTTCACTTTGTTAAGCTTTATGGTACAGAGCATTCCAATCAAACCATAACAAGAGATGGTTTTCAGCAAGAAGTTAATTAGGAATCATATTAAATTGTCCAGAGTTGCTGTTAGTAAAGCATTCTTCCCTGGCTTCAGCAATTCACCTGCATTAGGTGCTACACTCTATCACTGTCACCAAGATGGTGAACAAATTGAAAGCACTGGAAGGCGCTGACCTCACCTGAGCAACCCTGGAATGCCCTTAAAGCAGTCCTGAGCCAGTCTCTTGCGTCTGGTGAAGCTGGCAAGGACTAAAAGCACAATGATCTGGGCAATGGAAAACACTTCAGTTAATCATAGGCCACACACACCTTGAAAAAAAAACAACTCTGTTACAATGCTTAGGTTTGATACACAGGGTAATAATTACAGCATCTGTAATGTCCACTCTAGCAACACAAAGGCAACAAAGGCCTCAGCTTGCACAATAAACCATTTAGCTATTCGACAGAAAACCTTGTTTGTTTTGAGTGTTTTCAAGTATTTAAATGTCTCATTAAGCAGATTCCATTCCACATAGCTTCCAGAAATAAACATAAGCAAGGACTGGTTTAGTATATGAAAACATTGATTAAAAAAAACAGTTCAGCATGTGAAAATGAGTATTTTCAGCATGTGATATATGTTAATATACAAAAAAGTGTCCGCTGCATTTAGAAGTACTTTAGGGATACTAACTCTGGCGTCACTCTTTCTTGTTAATTCTGCTCCACATAAGTGGACTAATACTAGGTTGTATTAGTGAGAGCTATTGTCTAGGACATTCCAGGAGAGGTTTAGTGAAATTGGGCAACTTTTGTCAAGTTGCGGATAAGTGAACCAGCAACATTACTGCCTGACAGATGTGACCTGATGTCACGACTTTCACATTGCGCCCGGACAATTAACTGCAGATCGAGAGAAAGATAGCATGAAACATTTGGAAAGGTTTTACGATAGATTCTTTATAAGAAACTGTGTAGTGTTCATTTTTATAGAATTTGTTATAGGGTTATGAAATGATTTTAATGGTGAAGCAAGTACAATGAACAGCTGTCAGAGTTCCAGACTACAGGAAAAATTGGTGACCGAAAGCTCTAATACTGTATAATAAAATTTTAATCTATTTTAAACACTTACAGAGATTGCAGCAATACATGTGTGGTACAGCCTGTCATCTACAGTAGGATCACATTGCAGGATAGTGCTGAAATGATAAGACAGACAGATCACTAAATATTAAAATCAAGGATTACTAACTAAAAACAGTTTTGGACCACTTTTCTGTCCATAAGAAGTGGGTTTGTGATGAAAGCAATATTACTACTGTACACAATTATATTTTAAGCACATTTGTGGAAAAATAACAATACAATAAATGCATTTCAAATAAATAAGCAATTAACTCAGCAGGAAACAGACATGGCAAAAGAAAGCAAATTCATAAGGACATCTTGTGTGAACAAGGCAATGAATCCCTACTATTGTCTGTCGGGAACAGATGGTAATAAAGTTTATCTGGATACACTGAGAAAGCTCTCTTGAGATTGACTTGTAAGAAGACACTTGTACTTGAAATACATATCAAAATAATCTCAGATTCTTATACTGTTGTTCCTGTTGATTTTAAGAGCAGTCACAATGGAATCAAAATTATATTAGAATAATTAGATCCGCTAAATATACTAAATATACTGGAAATGTTCAACACAGAGTCACTACTGTATCATCTAATAAAAATTAAAGGAAACAAACTCTCAAATGTCAACAGGGCAGTTATCATCCTCTATAACACGATCAGCTTTCATGCTTAAACAGACACTTACACACTTCATTTCCAGCTTCAGCTGACTTCAAACATGTGATATACCATTCGATATTACCAAAGCAATTAAGGAAACGTAAGCAAAAATGAAGGATAAAAAAAGTATGGAACCTAATTAGATGTTCAAAAGGAAGAAAAGAGCTGGCTCACACTCATTTCAACCCTGCCTGATTCATCTGCTGATTCAAGAGCCAAAACAGAAAAAAAACACCCTTGAGCTTTTGCACTGTGCTGGGGACCACTGTGTATAAGAGTGCAGACTCCTATAAACTCCTAAACTCCTGCCCAGATTTCCTCTCATTACCAGCCAGACCTGGATATCAAGAACAATAGACATAAGAACTCCGTGTATTTCAAGATGGATCGACCAGCATGTTTTTCTACATGTACCACTCTCGTGCACAGCATCTATTCACTTAATTTCATCTTGGCAGTCCTGCACCTCTGAGAGGAACTTGAAACTGTACACTGGCTCACCTCGGGATCTGACCCTGCACACAACAGACCCCTGCAAGATACTCGCAAGGCCTGTGGTTTGGTGCTCTTATGTTCCTGTTTCACAGTCGGCAAGCTTTCATGGGCTTTTGAAAGAGCAGTGCATCAATGCAGCATGGAAAATCATAGTTCATAATTTAAGATCAGGGAAGTCAAATTCCGTTTAAAGTGGCTTTCTCAAAGATGTAAGGTTTTGTTTTTTTAATCTACCATCTTCTTTTATCAGCCTTTTTATGTTCACTGGTCTATGATGACTTGTCATGAAAGGAGCCTTATAAAATAATGATTATTCATTTAATTACTCTGAATTTAGAGGACGTAGGATCTTTCTTCACGGGGGACTGGTTATCAATGGATATGGAGAGCAGAGTAAAAGTTAATGGGTTCTAGGATAGAATCTGCTTGTGAAGTCACCTAAAACATTTTGATTAATAACTAGACAAATTCTCAATGTACATTATACACATACTTATGAATATCATATCACAAATAACCCTGTATTGTAAATAAATGCATTAAATACCTGTAAACCAACTACTCGTTTCATTTTTCCCCATATAATAATAGTAACTGAAGGTTACCAGACAACTAGTTTTTATTATTATATGTAACAATTATGGCATCATCCTAGAATCACACCCAACTTTTGAACCTTGAAAAAACAGATTCAAAATAAATTTCCTATAAAACAATTACCTATATAAAAGCACTGCCATAAAACATTTCTAATATAATGTGATAATGACAAAACCAGGCAAAATCTGATCCTTCATGCTGCTGCACAAACAATGCAGTTTAGCAAAACACAGATCTGGATCCTGAAAAGGTAATAAGGATTTACAGATATAGAACTAATGAGCTTGGCAGGGTTTCACGAACATTGGAAAAGGACATGGAGGGGTAGGAAATGAAAAAAGTGTACTTACTCTTCAGGAGATGTTGTGGGCTCCAATTGCACATCATAGTACTCATAGCTATAGTCATCCTTGGGGACATCAATGGAAGCCATTGCTTTACTGCCGATACAGGTGCACAGAAGTCCACCACCTTCCTTATTTTAAAAGACGAAAGAAGGAAAAGGAAAGGTGCTCCCAATTTCCTCTCTTTGATTAGGTACGGTTCTTCTGCACCTTTTGTGAAACTTCCACAAAGTTTTGCCGATAGTTTTACCAGGGTTGTCCCTCTACCGCACTCAGGTGCTTCCTCTGCCCCTGTGGTGGTGGTGAACTGATGTGAAAGATCCAATAGCTTCAATAACCCCCCTGCTCTCAATCAGACTCTTTTGCAACAGGGATTACACAGCGCTGGGAAAAGGGAGAGAGGGAAAAGAGGGGGAGAGTGAATTTGCAGAGAAAGTGGCCAGTTTGTACCAGCTCCTTACAGATTATGCATTTATATAAACTTCTGCTGCATAACTCTTCAGTCCAACAGGTTGCACCAAAAGTGAAGAGAAAGAAAATGAGTTTTTCCAAGTGTGTGTGTGGATTTTCAGGTGTGGGGGCTGGTTACCAAATGCCAGAAGACCCTGACTCATATAGGGAGTGAAGCCTAACTTGCTCAATAATGACAGCATACTGGAATTTTCACACACACAAAAAAAAAAAACACCTTCCACCTTAAAAGTGAACCAAACTGAAAGACTGACCAATAATAAACTTGACCAATGATCTCGTTCTGTACGTAAATGTCAATACCAGCTCTGAAATCAATCAGATGTGGCTTCAAAAGAACTTTAAACAGTTTACGTATATTTCCTATTTGTTTCACAAACAAGCAAGCCACGTTTGTTATAGTACTGTATATTTGTTATAGTGTAGTAGTTGTTATAGAAAGTATATTGCTGTGAAGTGTTATTCCCAACTAACACTGTTAAGGGTAATAACGTTTTATTTTTCTAAAGCAGTCAAACAGGATACTCATTTTGAATGTTCCTGGCAAAATATCACAGGAGCATCCTTTTCAACTTTTTTGGGAGCATTTGAAGATCAAGAATAAATACACCAAGATTAGCGGTAAACTTATATCACATTGCACATTGTAAAGAGGACTTTACTTGTTAGAGTGTTCTGGATTTAGGGACGAGAGGAGAGTCTAGTTTGTGAAGAATGTGAAAAAAAAAACAAGAACCTTTACAATTAGTTGTAAGCAGAATGCTGACTATCCAGTCATGTGCAGAGTGGGTTGAAAGTTAAGGAGCAAAGGTCATGTGTGTGTTCTAAACATGCCGTCCTCTTCTATTAAGAATTTCTGCTGAGCCACAATAGTGCTTTTGAATTGGACATCACCAACAACACTTTTATCTAAGCCTCAGTATCCAGAGCTTCTGCAGTAGGCAAAGGATGGCAATAAATTAATTTTGCATGCAGGATAAATTCTGTGCATTGTTGATAACTACTCTATCCTATAGCAGAGGTGAGAGAGTTAAATTCTGTAGTGCTGTCTAAATCGCAGGGGCTGACCTGTATTTCATGTTATACAAGGATTAGGGTCAAAGGTTATGGACAACAATTAATTTTTAACACACTTTCATTAGGAAACTCCTCCAAAGTAACATCAACAAGTTCATACCCAAATTAACAATTACCCCTTTGCAAAAAAGGAGTTACTATAAAAAAATGTTTTTTAGATAACTTATTACACCACTATATACTGTCTTGGCCAGTTATATTGAGCTGTAGCTATTTGTACATGGATGTGATGCATATTGGAAAAGCATAATGAATCAATACAATTTAAAGGCACTGTCTAAACATAAGTAAATAAACAGCATGGCCAAGTTAAATTAAAAAATAAACAATATCTAATTTGGTTACAGATTTCAGCATCTGCCTTAACCAATATTATGCTTCTAATTCATGAAGGCCGAGTGCCCTGTTTCAATTTTTATACAATAGATTTGAAAAGCTTTTAATTTTAAAGACCAAGTGTAGTGCTTCCATAAAGACATAGCAGTATGTGCCAGCAGGCACCCTGATCACATGACCATGAATTCATCCTGCTATGCCTGTAAACAAAATACTGTAGGGTCTAGGAGGGGTCTATTCTATGTCACAAGTCATTTTTCAATCAACATAATCAATACTCTTATAGCATTGTGAGTAAGATGGAGGCAGTTCTCCCAATTTCAAAAACCATTCTATCCCAGCTGGCCATAACAAACTTTTCATTTCCAATCGTTTGGTTTTTAAAGACATGACCTCAAGCAAATCAGGACACAATTGAGCTCAGCACAGACTTTGAATTCCTTTAATTTATGCAAAAGAAATTAGTTTGTTTTAACGACTGTGGAGCGCAACTCGCCACTGGTGTACACTATGTCTTTGCTTAACAGCAATGCGATTCTCTCTATTGCTCTAACCTTTTTCCAGCAGGGAAAGCTTTTGATCAAAATGACACCAATGCTGTGAATGCAGGAAGATTTATGTTCCCCATAATGACCTCATATCCAACCTAATCATTCAGCTCCTCCAGGGAACAGTTACATTGGCCATTAATAAAACGGGTCCCATGCTGTTTAACTAGACATCCAATTGACAAAGCAAAGCATTTAATTAAAAAAAAAAGAGATAAATATCTCTCTGCCATGATAATATTGTCCACATAACCAGCTGGTAAAATGCTGCCAACCACCGAACTCTGAAATCTAAGTTCTTGAAGACTAGATAGAAACAGAACAGAGAAAAACAACCAGGTAACAAATATGTATTTAGCAATCTAAAAACTACAGACATCCACGACACACCTAAGAGTTGTTTAAAAAGTTAAGATAAAATATTTTTACTGTATACTAGACAGGTAAAAACAAAGAAAATTATGACATAAATAATGAACATAGATTACAGTTTCTACAAATAGTTTAAAAAAAACAGATGTGGTATTCCAATTCATGGATCTAACATACCATTTTCTTAACAAAAAATATACAGTAGGTAACAGCCTTAAATATTGGAAAAAAATAATTACTTTTCAAAACTCAAATGGTCACTGTAAATGACCTACTGTAATGTCTAGGTTACTGGTATACTTTGAATATGATAGCTATGGATATGACACGAATATTATACTTTGATTATGACAGACCCATCCACTATCAAAGGTTTCCGTTATCTCACTACCTTCAAAGATTTGTAAAGATTTATTTTCAATGCAAATTAGTTCTTGATAAACACGTGACCATTACATAAAAGGGTGTTAGTGTACATGAAACACCCAGTGTTTATAGAGATATGTAGAGGTCCAAAAGATATTTTACACACAAAAGCGCAGCTTTACAAAACAGCACACTTCTCTGGCATAGGGAATCATGTGGTGAATCCTATGCTGAGAATCTGACTGCTTCTCTATTGTCTGTCCAGATAGAATAGTGACAGATTCCAACAAGTATGGTATGCTTCAGGTTTAAACTCACTCCCATAGATAACATCCGGCAGTAAAATACGTCTTTTTCCATCTTACAGTTCTCCATTTACCACATAAATTAGGCCTTACATATTTAGGTGTTATTTACAAAAGTCAAACGTCTTTCCCCTTGCAGAAAGCATGCAAGCACAACCCCAAATCACCATCTCCTCTGATGTACTGTAATATGCAGCAATAAAAATCCTGTTCCTCAGCCACAGAACAAAGGACTTCAGTTGTGCTCCTGATTCAGAATGTATATACATTACTTTTTTAATAAAGAGACCAGACAGTAAGCAGAGCTACTGCCTCTGATGTCTACTGTTTGATCTTCTGCAGATCCCAACAATGGGCCTTTTTATTTTTATGGTCTGAAAACTAGAGGGGAAAAATCGTCACTCGGATTTAGCATTGCACAGGTGAGCATGGAGAACTCTCCCTCACCCCGCCCCGCTCTCAAACTTTCTGAAACCTCTGCGGTAGCTTTGACTGAAGCCGACTTTGAAAACCACATCAGAGACAATCTTGCTTTCATTAAAGGGATGCTTATTATGTGACCTACAGTATGTGCTCATAAGCAATTCACAAGCTTACAGTCCCCATGTTTGTAACGGATGGGTAGTTACAGTTGCTGCCAGAAGCCGTATCTTTCTGGGAGTTGTGTGAAAGAGGGTGGCACGAAACTTGGCTACGGTTTTCCCGTTTTAAGTTTCAGTGGTACATAATTCTCTCAAGAACACGACATTACGAATGACATTTAATACCTGTTCTAACAACATTCGCTATCGAATCCATAGCGTTTTAACACCACACAGAACCGAAGTCGTTGTGATATTTAACACAAAATCACAATTTTAAGCTTTCTGCCAAGACAATGTCTGTTCGGTTCGGGTAGTACTGTATGCTCTGTGTTGACGAAACTATCGACTGCATTGTGCGTGTGTTGTTTTCAAAGACTACCGGATGAGCTAAAGTAATAATACAAAGGGCTATGTTACTAAAGTAATTATTCATAACATATCCTTAAATTACACTTGAATACATGTCAGTTACAAAAAAACAACAACACGTCTAACTCGCTTAACTAATTCTAGTAATCTCGGCATTAAATCACAGAAATGATATTAACACATAAAACGAATTCTATTAAGGGTGGTTTAATAATTTTAATTTGAATGAGAATTTTATATAAACCATGTTTGTTAACCCCCCTTGTCATGGATT